GAGAGATAGAAACATCAATGATGAGAGAGAATCATTGATCGGCTGCCTCCTGCACGCCCCACACTGGAGATCAAGCCCCCAACCCAGGCATGTGCCCTGACCAGGAATCGAACCATGACCTCCTGGTTCATAGATCAACACTCAACCACTGAGACATGCTGGCCATGCTGGGTACATATGCTTTAATTGCCAGGTGTTTCTCATCTGCCCAATAAGACTGGAAGCAACTTGAGGATGTTCTTATCATTCTGCATCTATCAGAGAACCAAGTGTGGTGACATGCCACAAACAGAATTACTTAAAGTACTTCGGGATATATGCATGGATGTGGGGGCTCATAGTAAGTCTAAAGAACATACGGAGAATCAACATCCCTCGCTCTCTGTGAGTAGTGAGAATGTCATTTCTACACCATCAGTCACTGAGCTACATCTTCTAGTTTACCTTTTTAATTACAGGACATTTTATGTTTACTGTTGAAATTTATATGGAGAGACACTAGGTGTTGCTGCTTTACCAGGAAAAAATATTACAAGAGATTATCCAGTAGTACCATAAACCTTTGTTCAAGGAGTGAGGAAGAATTCTGATTTTCCATTTACCAAAGTTCTTTCCAGATAGAATATTTTCAAAATATATATGGTGGCAGGCAGCATAATACCCCAGTACATATGCTCATGTCCTAATCTCTAGAACTTGTCATGTTGTATGGCAGAAGGGAGTTAATAGCTAACTTGAAAACAGAAAGATTATCCTGGATTATCTGGGTGGGTCTAATGCAGGGGTGGGCAACCCCTGGCACGCGTGCCAAACATGGCACGCCAGTAACTTTTGCCAGCACGAGAAACCCTCTCTTATAATCTTCCATTTACAATTTTTTTTCTTAATATCGACTTTTTTATTTTTCAGATAAATTCAGTGTAGGTGCATCTTAGATAAATAAATAATTTTACATAACAAGTTATCTTAAAGACCATAGACATGGATTGACGAGAGAGGGGAAGAGCAATTTCTATGCCTCTGCCTTAACTCTCCCTGCCTTCCTAGATCCGACCAGTGTTTTGGTTTCATCCACATACGCTTGTGAATCTTTGTTCTCAGTGATGAATTTTGTTAAGTCTCGTAATAGGAGTAGCCTGACGGATGAAAGTAGTAGCTCGTGCATATTTCTGAAGGTCACGAAATATAAACCTGATGTAAAATCTCTGTCATCAGTGATGCAGCAGCAAAAGTCCCACTGATAATATCAAACGGAGTCATAAAGTTTTCTATCAGTGTACATGTATACATTAAAAAATAAATGTATTTTTCATCATCATATACTGTGTTTTTGTCGCTCAAATGAATTTTATTATTTCTTCAAGGTTCTTCACATACGTACACCTTAAGAGATATCAAGTAGGCGTAACATATTCTCAAAAACTTAGGGTTGGCACACAGAAGAATTTTGAGTCAGAGATTTTGCTGGTTTTGGCACGCACTCACAAAAAGGTTGCCCACTCCTGCCCTAGGAGCTGTATAGGTGAAGATATTGCTTTGGCATATGTCTGAGATTTTGCTGCCTATGGATTCCTCTAAGATTTTTATGGCTTCCCGTCTTACGTTTAAATCCTTTAACCATTCTGAGTTTATTTTTATGTAAGGTGTAAGTTAGCACCTGATTTTTAAAGTCACGTTGGAGCAAAAAGGGTAATTACTTAATTTTTATAAATCAATCAAAATTAAACCAATTTTTCTTGTCTGATCAGGAAAAAATATATTTTTTGGGTTTGCCACAGAATTTTAGTAGTTATGTGTGCCATAAGATGAAGAGTTGAAAATCATCATACTAGAGTTTAAATGAAGGTTCCAACACTTAGGAGGGTAGCTTTGAAAAGTTACTTTAGATCTCTATGTTTCAATTTTCCCTGTAAAATGTGGTTAACAGTACTTATCCTCGACCTGTGGTAAATATTAAGCAAGCTAATACACATAAAGTACCTAGATCAGTGCCTAGTACAAGAATTGCTTTTAAGATGTTAGCAAGTATTACCTTTTTTACAGTCAAGGACATTTCCACGATCACATGGCTAGTGGTGTTGCTGAGATCTATAGGCAGGTTTTCTGGGTCTAACTCTACTCTTTCTGTGATACCACTACTACCCAAACACTCTCCTATATGTAATAAAAAACAGGAATAGGCCAATGAATGATATGGGAAGTACTTTATTTTATCATGTGACACCACATAACAGCCACATTTTTACAGCTGCCCAACCACAGTATAGATTTGAATAGGAAAAATGGCTCAGAAATAGCAGTATTAGTGATTCAAGTATTGATCTTTATTTGATAAAGGATAGCAGTTTTGATGATTGATTTACCAGAGTTTTAAAATGTAATTTTATACTGAATCTTTTCTTAAAAAGAACTATTTTTAATTAAACTAGGTATAGTCACATAATGAAACCGCATTTAAAAACATGCTTAAAATTCCCATCTGTCAATTTTGCTCTTAGTATTAAAAATGCCTAATTCCAAAATCATGCTGAAGGTCTCAGCATCTTACTCTATTTCTAAGGGACTAACTGGGAAGTAATGAATGTCTATCTTCCTTCAGAAAGACAGTGATAACCTGGAATTTTTCTTACCATATTTCCCAATATACACCTTATGCCCTTTTGAGATATGCTTCTTATTGGCGCAGCAGAAAAATACAACAGGATTATGAAAAACTAAATTCTAAGCCAAGGTCATAATTGTAAATAGGTCATGAAACTTCCTTAGGCCTCTGTTCTCAACTGCAAAGAAAAGTCATATTTATTGTCTTTTATTATTTTTATCTTCACAGTAACCCTTAGAGTTAAGACAGCATTACAATCATTTATAGAGGAAATCATTCTCAAAGAGGTTACACAATCCAGCCAAAATCTCACATGTAATAACATAACAGAGTTGAACTTAATACAATTTTGCTCAAGACCCCAGTACTAGTATGTGTTGTGCTCATAAATTTGTTAAATGCAGCAACAATTTCCCAGGTCCCTTCCAATGATCACATTTTATGCTTCCACTTGCTATTTTCTTTCAACCAGCATTTAAATGAGAAAGTATGTATATTTGGTCACCAAATTTATCATGGTTCTTTGATTTAACCATTCTTTAAAATTTTCTTGTATTTTCACAGTAAATCCAGAAGTTTTCTTTTTTTCTTTTTTCAGATAGCTTCCACTACTGCCTGCCTCTATGAAAGCTCTTGGACTTACCTGTTTGCTTGTCAAAGTACAGATTTGCTAAAATTTTAAAACACTAATTCTTTTTTATAATTTTAAGTTATTTCAAAATAAAATTTAAAAAAGGCCTTACTAATTCTTATTCCCTGTAGTAATAAAAATGTATTTTCTATTGGTTTTGTATCCAGTTTCCTGTCCGCCTTTAGTTGGGAAATACTGTTGTTCTACCTCACTGTCAAGCCTCCCTTTCCCTAACAAGAAAATGTCAGTCATAAGAGTCAGGAAAGCTCTTACTTTCACTATTCCATAGGAAGAATAAACTAACCACCTGAATTGGAAAGTTAAACTTTAAGTGTCAAATAAGGGATTCAGGACATTTCCTAAGAGGTCATATGACCAGCTTAAATGCTGATATGCTTAAAATAACACTTAAAATTAACTCTTTTATGTGCAATAAATTTATATACCTGTTAGTTAGTCATGCTGATATTACACCCGAATACATACATGCCTAAACCAAATTAAAGTTGAAAACAAAATTTATTCTATCAGCAGAGGTCAATAAATAGGATGCACTCATAAGGAGGGAGCTTTAAACATTCAGTAATTTATATAATTTAATATGCTAAAAATGAGAAAATAAACAGGGCATGGGGATAGGAAAAGTAATTCCAAGAGTTCCTTCATTTTGATTGAATTGCTTTCTTGTCTTCAGGAGGGAAGATTTTGACTTCAAAAGTAACGAAATATTTGAGAACGGAATTTACATCTTTCTGTTCTAGATGGTATTCTTCTGCTATTTTCTCAGCAGTCCATTTATCTGGATAAAGTTTATGATTATTGAGAAGTGTCAAAGCCTCTACAATGGAAACTTTGCCTTTGGGAATGTTCTCAATATTTATGTCAAAATGATTGCCTTTCGGCAATCTGAACTCCTTTGGCTCTTGAGGTGTTCCAGCATCTTTGTCCTAGTGTCAAAAGACAAAAACAAAAAAAGGCTTTCAAGATGAGAAAAGATTTGACATCTACAGACATGCTTCTCAAATCTCCACTATTCTCCTTCAAATAAATACTACACATGCTTCTCCAAACTACATTTTCTCATTATGATGAGCCACAGTTCAATGGCAATCACATCACCATTTAATCACTATAGCTCAACCATCATGAAGAAATTCAGATAATTCTAGAAAATAATACTCGAATGTATACCATCTATTCCTATTATTTCATTTGTATATTAAAAGGACAATTGGATTAGGTTAAGACTGCTTTAAAAGGGCAGGACTCTGACACTGACCTAAGTTTACTAGATGATCTCCATTCTGATTCTAAGTTTTGCATTTCATATTCAAGGCCTCCAAACATGAGGAATGAATTTAAATATTGCCAGAGATTTTCCCTCTTCAGAGAAAATAAACAAATGCTTTTAATACTCCAACAAACATAAATAAAACATTTTAGGCACACCCATCTTTTCACCTGTCTATACAGTAAAACCTCGCTATAACAGGCTAATTTGGGTGAGGACGTGTCTGTTAAAGCTGAAAGTCCATTACACAGTAAAGTAGGTTTTCTGAATACGTATGTTAAAAAATTGACAAATTAGCTTACCTATTTTTACTTATGTAGACATGTGTAATTTAAATTAAGTATGTATGAAAAGTTTAATTTCACAGAAAAGTTTTTTATATGTATTACTATAATTTTAAATTTAGACTCAATAGGTCTAGTAAATGTGTGCATTAACCAGTCACCTTGAGCAAACAAATGCACAGGGCTGGGGCGTGGCTTAGCTCACATGGGAACATCGGCCTTCACGCCTTAAAACTGCTGCAGAAAGTCATGCCACAGACAACGGAACCATAACCTCCAGTGATGAAGTGTGATCATTCCCCGAGCTGTGACTCTTCGATTTAAATATGTAAACTACAGTTGCAGATATGTAATATTTATTTATGTCAGTGAAATTACTATAGTGTTTTTTCCAGCATATGGCCTTTTCACTAAAATTTGTTAAAAATAACAGTGAATTAATAACAAAAAAAGCCTATTAATTTAATTATAAGTAAATCTTGGTTAAAAGCATTTTAAAGTTAACAGGATATTAATCTTTGCATGACGTATGGACTAGAAATTTAGTCCATTAAATTGAGGCTGTACCATCCAAGCTTAATCCTTGAATTTGTGCTCTGTATTTCATTCGTTACCTACTATGCCAATCGGTCATTCCCTTTTTTCCTCTTGCTTTCACTTGTATCCTGCCTAATGCTGCTGTTTGGTCCAAATGCAAAAATACTGTAGTCACCTTTAAAAACATCCACAAACCCAAACCCAAAATATCCTTTATGACCAGTTTTTTTCCTTCTGGTTAAGCTTTACAAAAATAATTCTTTTTTTTTAAATTTCTAATCCATAAGACACTTTTCAGGCTTTATTTGAACTCACTAGAGCACCTGAAGCTTGGTTTCAATGCCATCCTCCTCCTAGTTTCCCATCTTTCTCTCCAGTGGCTCCTTCTTTGTTTTCTTTGTGGACTCCTTCCCTACAGCTGCCCCTTAAATGTTAGTGTGCCCCAAGTTCTGGCCTGGGCCCTCCTTTCACCCTATACTCTATTACTCTTCCTAAGTAATCCCACATGCCACCTTCAGTTTCATTACTACCTACATGTTAATTACTTTCAAATGTGACCTCTAACCTAGACTTTCTCCTTACTTCCAGACCCAAATTCCCAAATGCCTAATGGGCATCTTTACTTAGATAATCTACAGGCACCGCAAAATCAACATGTCTAAAACTGAATTTATCCCTTTCCTCCGAAAACCTAATTCTAGCCCCATATTCTCTATCTCAGTGACTAACACCACCTACCTCCCATATCCCATTCCAAAATTCAAAGCTTCTCTTATGTCATGTTATACCTGACACGTCCTTCTCCCTCACTCATAATATCCAATCAGTGACCAAATCCAATTGATACTGCCTCCTAAGTCCTTCTCAAAGCCATTCACTTCTCTCCTAGTTACTAAATCACCTTAGTCCAAGCCAATGTCTCTTGAAGAAATTACTGCAAAAGCCTCTTAACTGGTATTCTCTTGCGATAAAACACTTTTTGTTCTCTCCTAACCCACTCTCAAAACTGTCCTTATTAAACCCTGGCAGCCCATCTATGTTTCTCTCTCACATCAGTGTTTCTCCCTCTCCCTTCCTCTCTCTGTAAAAAACAATAAGACAATTAATTAATTTAAAAATAATTATTTGGTATATGATAGGCACAGTATCACTGATGTCTAGAGACATCACAAATTAATTGCCGAAAAGTTTAAAAAAGGGACAAAGAACATAAATAGGTACCTTCAACCTTTTTTATCACTCTCCCTTGAACCTTTTTAGACTTTCCTAATAACCCCTTTAAATTTTAACACCACTATATATCTCTTTATGCATTGTATCTATATATCGTGTTTTACATGTAAAATCTTTTTTTTTTTTGCTCTCCAAAAGCCATTTTTCAAATGCATGATTTAACATGAGAGAAACAACTTTTATGGAAGTATTATTCAATCCTGCCTAAAAATAACAAAGAACATGAACATCAACTCCCATTATCTTTTTTATGTGAGCATTTGGTGATACCTAAACCCAGTAACTTCTACTACATGTAATAATGTACAAACTTTATTTTACACATGAGCTTTATTTTTCTTTTCTATTGAAAAGTATACTAATAACTATATCTTTGTCAGTCTATTTCCTATCCAGAAAGAGACAAAACAAGAGAATTTTACAATGGAAAAAAATCTGGAAGTTGTCACTGGCACTTGCCACTTCTTTAATCAAACTCTTCCCCTTACTTAGAACCTTCCTGCCCCCACAAACTCATCTGGTTAACTCCCATGCATCCCTCAGGTGTCAGCCTGCATGTCACTTCCTCAGAAACCATCCCTGATCCTCCAATCTCAAACAAGTCCTCCTGATACACTCACAGTGCCTATATTTCTCCTTCAGATCAGTAATTACGTACTGTAGTTGCTCATTTGTTTCATGCCTGTGTCCCTCCTGATACTGTAAGCACTGTGAGAACAAGGACTAGGTTTATTTTGTTCATCACTATACACAATGCGCTTATATCTGGCATTTATATATGGATTTACACATAGGTTCCCATTCTCAATGTATTCTTCTACGTATCCTATCTGAACATATTCTTAAAAATCAAATAAACACCACCAATAGACCACTAAAAGAATCCCTGAAATTAAAACATACCTCAATACACTGAAGGGTAAATCAATAAATATATTTTTATTGATTTCAGAGAGGGAGAGGGAGAGAGAAACTTCAATGATAAGAATCATTGATCGGCTGCCTCCTGCACACCTCCTGCTGGGGATAGAGCTCAAAACCCAGGCCAGTGCCCTGATGGGGAATCCAACTGTGAGCTCTTGGTTCATAGGTCAACCACTGAGCCACGTGAGCTGGGCAAGAAAACAGTATTAAAGCTCTCCTTTGGTCATTCAAATGGACAACCAGTACAAGTACCTTGCCAAATCTTACAAATTCTGAAATGATATAAAATAATTCACACAGCTGCATTCAATCAATAGTTTCACAAATCTTTAGGAATTTTGGTAAATATCCAATGCACCGAGGCCTGTGAGCCTTGCTTAGACCCCGGGTTTAAGCTTTGCCAGTGCACTGTATTCTGGTCGCGACTCCACTGACAGGTCACACCTGCAGAGCACCTCACTCCCTTTTACCACCTGCCACACTTCTCCGATCGTTGTCCTGGAGTCCAAAAAGGTTGAATTCTTTACTGCATGAAAACACACATTACCTGCGCAGAAGACACCGGATCTCTGGAATTAACGTACACATCTCTCAGCAATGACAGCAATTTGTCATCTTTCCTACCAATTTCTCCCTTAATATCCGCTTGGCCTAAGGAAAGAAAAAGAATGTCAACAAAATGAAAACCAAGTAAGAATGCCCTCTGAGTCCCTAAACACACGACAGTCGCTATTTGTGTTAAGAAACAATCGCTGGAGCAGCACGGAAAGTATTTTATTTATTTTAATTTTTTTTTATTATTGATTTTTTACAGAGAGGAAGGGAGAGGAACAGAGAGCCAGAAACATCGATGAGAGAGAAACATAGATCAGCTGCCTCCTGCACACCCCCTACTGGGGATGTGCCCGCAACCAAGGTACATGCCCTTGACTGGAATCGAACCTGGGACCCTTCAGTCCGCAGGCCGACGCTCTATCCACTGAGCCAAACCGGTCAGGGCCGGAAAGTATTTTAAAGCAAACCAGCACGCTAGGTCGCTCTGCGGAGACACCTGCTGAAAACTTCAGCTGCCCTGGAGTCCCAGTCGCAAGCGGCCAACCGGGCGGACGAAACGCCGGCGAGGACCGCGGCGG